TGCTTTTAGGTGCACAGGAAGAATAAAATGACGTTTCTATCTAAAGAGACAGTCAAGCCGCTTTCATGGGCCTAATTGTAGTCGTGACAGTAGATGAGACTGGGGATATTATTTAAAGTTATATCATTTATTTTCACTATAATTCCATCCGTAAAAAACACAATGACAAAATGTTTGACTATTTGGGATTCATACAATCTAAAAGCAAAAATCCTTTCAGATGGGGGCCGCTGGGAAAAAATCTTGACGCGTGATCGGATCTACAGTTTGTGTCAGTTTCCTTGACATGAAAACGTTTGAGAACAACTGTTTTACTGTGAAGCTTGTTTTGTTGTATTGAGCTAAAAATGACACATGCACTCAATGCAAAAATACTGTCAGATTCAACCAATCTGAGAGCAGAGGAAAACACGACCAAAATCAAACATCATTTTAGATTTTTTATTTATTTTGGAATTGTTGATTTTATGATTTTTTAAATCTGAAATGTGGGAGGAAACCGGAGCAACCAGAGAAAACCCATGCCAACACGGGGAGTATAGAAACTCCATACAGCAAAGATCAAGGCTGGGAATTCACCCCTGATCTCTGCTGAGGCCACAGTGTTAAACACTGAGCTGCCGTGCGGCACTGAACGTTTCTCACAGCGTACATTTTGACTCAAGTGTAAATGGTAAATGATCTGTACTTGTATAGCGCCTTTCTAGTCTTTACGACCACCGAAAGCACTTTTACAATACATCACATTTACCCCATTCACACACTGAGGCAGAGGCTAAGGTGCCATCTGCCATCAGAAACAGAACAGAACTCCTACTGTACGTCAAAATGCCCGCTGTGAGAAACTGTTGTCAGGCCAGGTCAGACTGGGACAGGTATGTCAACATCTGTTGACATACAACATGTGAGGTACGATATGCAGGACGTTCTAAAAGCTTTTCCCACTGCTGAACAGAACCTGGCCACTGCGTACTTCTTTGGGGGGGAATTGAGGAGGGCATTTATGTGGATTTTCAGATATTTCACAACAGCATCATCAAAAGATGTATTGTTTGATGCCATTGCAGCCTCCAGTATCTTTTTTGGAGAGCCAAACTCCCGGTCAAGGTCTTTAATCACGGCTTTGTTGACTTTTGTCATGAAGTTCTTGGTTTTTCCAGCAACAGGGCCAGTGATTTTGATCTCATCTGCTACCTTGTCTGACAGACGCTTGATGAGGGCGTTGATGTCTGCCATCTGCACGGACCTTTTGGTTTTCAAAGGGGTCTTTGCGACAAGCCTCATGAGCAGGGCAGTGATGAGTTTGCTGGTCATCCACTCTGATCTGAAAGAAGAGGAATCATCTGACACTGCGGACAGATCCCCACCTTCAGTGTGTGACACCGGACTATTGTTAGGCACTCTGGTACAGGAGTAAGTGATTCCTCTGGGTTTAGAGGTTACTTCTTCAGGAGCTCCTGAAGTGGCCTCGACATTGCATTTGAGCGATTGCTGACTGTCAACATGAACCCCGACATTCAAGCTCTCACTATCAAAATCAATGCAGACAGATGCAGATATTTCAGCATCATTAATAGATGATATTCTTGAAGTCTGCCTGTTGCTGGCTTCCGGGCACTCCAGCCTGATGATGGCATTTTCTGGTGGTGGGGTCAGCACTGTTGTGATTAGCTCTTTGATGTCAGTTAATGCACCTGCCACTTCCTCATTGTGACTTTCTTTGTTTGATGGCTCCATCTCCATCCAGTGCAGCACCTGCTGCAAGAACTTTTCCACTGCGTCCTCTGTGATGGCATATGCCTTCGTCCTGACAGAGGCACAGGCACTCCTCACCCTTGGGACCGTGGGAATCTTATATGACTGGCCAGCCATCAGATTGTTGTATATTTTATCAGTCAGCTCTTTGGAAAACTTCCTGATCATGCCACTGGATTTGATGTCTTCCAGTGTTTTGTTGGATTGTGCTGCAGCTTTCTCTGGCAGGTTGAATTTATCAAACAAGCTGTCGACATCATTTTTGATGGTCTCAAAATCTAGTTGAGAAAACTGCTGCACTCTCATGCTGATCAATTTCGAGTCGCTGGTTGGATCACTAGATGCACGTCTGGGCCTTGGAGAATAAGGAACACTTCCTGGTAAAATGCCATCAATAGCTTCTTCAAAGTCATGCTCTTCCACGGGTTTAGGCTGATAGGACATAGAATCTGGGTTGAGTCTCACAAGGAAATCTTTGCATTTTGTCTTCAGCTCCGTCATCATTTTGTCAAACTGTTTTTTGGCAAACTTGAAAAATCTGCGTTTGCGAACTGCTTGGTCGGCATTGGCGGCATCTTCTGAAGGTGCGGCCTGTGAGACAAGAAAGTCTCTCACCTTATGAAATATTAACCCCATATTAAAATGAGGTCTTGGTGAGCATCTTTTCTCACCGCCGTGAGACTGCAGGTCATCGATTATAGCTTTGACAATTTCAGATGCTACATTATGAGCTTCCAGAGAGGTGCTGGGAGACAGGACAGCATTCTCAGCCTCTTCTGTAACGTCTGGTGTCTTCTTGGACCATTTGGCAAGGATGTCAGTCACAGCTTCAATCACTGAGGGGATGGAGATCTCGGATTTTACGCTCTGAGGCAGTTCACATCTCTCTGGTTCCTCTATTTCCAGGATCTGTTCTGGAGATTCAGAGCTTTTGAGTGGAACATACTCAATGTCGTTTGTCTGCCAACACATTCCCAGGCACTGGGAGTTCAGCTTTCCTGAATATTTTTTCAGACATTCGGTTGCATGTAACACCATCTGACGAAGAGATGATATGTTGGAGATGACGCTAGGGAAAAAAAGGTCAGGCTCTGATGGCGGGCTGCTGAAGACCCAGGATACAACAGAGCTTACCTCCTGTGAAACTTCCCTCTTAATTAGACTTGTCAACTTTTCTGCACTCTCAAATTTGTCCTGTGGGACTTGAAAAGCACTAGCAATGCTACCAGGGAGGGAGTCTCCGAGTTGAGTGTTGAAGTTCTCCAAAGCTGTACTCACAGCAGCCTGAGCTGCACTCCTGTGCACGTTCTCCTTAATCACTGGAATGATCTTTCTCAGGATGGCTATAGAGAGTGTCTGTATGATTTCAACAATCATATCAGCCAGTGTAGTTTGTGTGTCTGAGTCCAAAGTCCCTGCGGCTAACGTGTTCCACTGTGCTGCAGAGATTCTTTCAAAATGTTTTGTTACAATGGGCAGAATAGCCTCTAGTGTGATAGTGTCGTCCATCTGGAATCCGGTTTGGTCCATTTAGGTACGTTCTGTACACAAAGCTCTGCTTTTCTTCCGTTTGTTTGAAACTTACTGTAAAGTGTTTAGCAATGTGTGGAAAATGTTTAATTTTTTCAGTTAGGTGTACCTCGCTGTGCTTTCTGACTGTGGTCTGGAAGTCACTTGTCAAGAGTGAAAACTGAATGTAGAATTTAGTGATATTCATATAGTCAGGACTGTATGACATCATGTGTGTTGATTCACATCACAGCACAGCGTCACACATCAAAGGAATTTAGAACCAGAATCATTCAGAACCCGATGACGCGTCATAGGCAATGGAACTGGAACACAAACTCACGCGTGCAGCAGCGTCAGCGTCAATCTATCACGCATGAGCCCTTTAAAGAGAGAGTCGCGTCAGCGGGGGTCCAAAATGCTACATCGTCACGTGGTTCACGGAGACCGCAGATAGTTCCCGGAAGTCCTCGGCGGGCAATTCAAAATGAGCGAGAGAAACGACAAAACGGCGATTTTAAGCGACCCGTTAATTGGGTTAATTGATCTTAATGACTAATGTAATCTGTATGACTTCAGATAGAACAGACAGGTGACTATCAATGATTGTCATGTATTAGTTTGATAAATCTCCAGTAAACTCAGAAAACAGTATTTTAAGTGATTTGTGTCTGTGAACTGTCTTACACTAATGTACAGCAGTTTCGGTCAGAAAAAGGAGTATGTTTGGTTTCCACACTGATGTGGAGAGGAGGGAAAAATGGTTGACTCAAGTCAACAGGAACAACCTTACAATCACTAAAGAGGCTAAAATATGAGAGGTACTTTTTCACATCACATCACTGGCTTTATGTTTGGTTTATTAAAAATATCACTGCAGATCATCTTCAGGCTCCACTGAACCCCCTGTGATTCTTGTGCTGGGAGGGGGAGAACAAGAGAGAGAGAGGGTTAGACAAACCTACACATCTGTAAAGATTCATCCAAGTCCTGTTTATCCAAGAAAAGGTGAATCGGGAGCATCTGGACGTTTCAGAAGAAGTCCAGTTGCTCTCAATTCAACCTTTCTTTTGAACAGCTACAGGTTTGATTGAGAAAGTTAAGGATTGTTAAATTTTGGAACTTCATTAAAAGCTTTTGCTGCTGATGTTGACATCAGTTACTAGATAGTTTGTTAGTCAGTGAATGTTTTTATTTTTTCAAACACTTCTCACACACAGGAATTCTGATGATGATGTGATATGAATTTGTACAAAGTAATTATGTAATTAGCGTAAACATATCCAGTAAGAATTGAGTGTTCACCAATATGGTGCATTCAATATGGGAGCTAAAACATAAATTAACACACTACATTCACATATGCACACACAGGATACACAAATGCACACACAAAATTAAAAAGCACAGAAGATTCACTAATGCATACAATAATCACAAATGCACACAAGATTCATAAATACACACAAAATTCAGAAATGCAAACAAAATTTACACACAAGATTCAGAAATGTATTTCGGATGCACACAAATATATATCTTGATTTACAAACTCCTTGCGGTCTGTGAACTTCACTGCATTTGTGTGTGAATTGTGAGACTCCCCTGACTTGGCTCGACACACAAATGCCCTTTTTAAAGAGGGATTGATCTGGAACCAATCAGATGTCTCCCTTGTTTTAGCAGGGATGGTTTACTTATAAGCCAATCGCATGAATGCGTTCACATAGCGCTATAAGCATGTGTTGCGGGTGCGGGCTATCGCAGTGGAGTTCAGTCAGTGGAGACCTCAACATGGCTTCTGGCAACGACAGGGGAGCGGTAAGTATAACTTAACATGTTCAGCTAGTTATCCCCTTGTTATGAGATGTTGTTTAATTATTAATGTTAACCGGTTGAATTGTGCAATTATCAACATAAGCTAACGTTAGCGAGCTGAGCTAGCGCTTCTGCATGCTAATAGGGTCAGGCTAGTAGTATCTTTCCATAAAGTTGACATTCGTGTGAATCAAGTGACTGTTTGACAGGGTCTGTCGCCCGAAGCCGAGGTAGCAGCTCAGGCTTTTGTGCAGTTATTGGCCCGGGAGCTGTCCTCAGGCCCCAAACGCACAGAGAGAGAGTACAGCAGTCAGGGCTGGAGGCAGTGCTCCTCTGCCGGTTAGCGATGCTAGGGTGAGACATTTAACTTATTATTTCTACATTTGCTAGTAACATATATAAAGAGATGCCAAAGCCCCCCATCTAACTATTCTTATTGCCAATACTACGATTCACCATGGCAACGGGTAAATAAAGGCAGAGCCTCCATTTTAATCAGGTGGAGCTAGAAATATAAATGCTGCCAACGCGGACCCTGATTGGCTCTAAAACGCAGGAGTGGAGGAGCGATACGTTCACAATGTTTCATTTTATAAAGCGTTGCTCATTCATTATTTACTAGACTGGAATTTCCTTAATGAATGAAAAAGAGCTGGAATTCTCCTCCAGCCTGTTAATCATTTTAAACTTTTAAACAGGCCTGTTTAGCTGGAACTTGACGGGACTAAATGCCGGTGGCAATAACTGAAGATGAAAACATTAACTGAACAGATTAGACATACTTTACAATCGGTCCATGAATAGGCTAAACAGTCCTGCTCATTTCGTGTTTAATGAAATTATGTAAAACACATTGAGACTATTAGCAGATAATGGAAAAACTCACCGTAAACTACATTTCTTTGTTTCAGCTGCACCACAGTCATCCTCACTCAAATATTCACATCATAGCCTATCCAACATAACTACCATATAATGTTCCAATCAGTGCAACTACCATATGAATGATTTGTGTTCATTGATTGGTTTTATACAGATTAGTTTAGTGATTAGGCTACTACAGTAGGCCTAAAGTAGCTCACAATAAGTGTTTAAGTGCAACTGTTGCCAACCTGACAGCTGCCTTAATGTCCATAGTCACAGTGTTAAAGGACAGTGTAGCCTATAGATTTTATTCTGTGCTGAAGAGAAATCTACAATATCCGGAGAGTCTCTCAATCATCGATGACAGATTGATCATAAAAGCGATCATGTTACAGATCATGTTTGGGTAAAAAAAAACGAATAACCTATCTAACCCGGGATTTCAATGTTTCTAAAGACATAATGCGTTGAGAAATGTGCTTTGAGATCAACATTAAGAATGAGGAAAACTCAGCGTTTGTTCAGTGTAAGTTGCCAGGGTTACTGAGCTCGCTCTCAGGCTGAACATACTTTTTTTTTTTTTCACTAAACCTGCTTTCTGATACGTGGCACAGGTCTTTTCTTGGTCTTGAATATGTAATTACCTTCACATTTTAACACAATGATTCATTTATTTACATAAAATAGCATCCATTTTCCTATATTGTGTGAAATGACTACCTATCTTGTAATTATGTATGGGCACAGTGCACAAGTGTAAATTGGTTCAATAACATTTAAATATGCATTATTTTTACACACAAATGTCTTTGTCAGGGAATAGCCATCCCAGAGATTCAATGGGACGAGAGTGGCTACACAAATGAGCCTCATTCCGGGGTAAATATTCAAAACTTAAGTAGCTTAAGTGCAAACTTTACAAAAGTAAAATCCCTGTAGTCTCTTTTCCTCTCCTAGTTTAGAACATCCAAATGATTACTTGAAATGCTGCTGTAAATACTGTGGAATGTAAACAAAGAATGAAGTTTCATTTACCAATTTTATGTGCATTTGTGTTTCATTTCATCTCAGAGGGAGCTGGGCTTTACTGTTTCTGTCAAACATTCACATTTATGTCTTCTCCTTTCCCTGTGCTGCAGTGAAGCACACAGCAGTGGATAGAAAGGAGGGAGAGAAACATGACCATTTGACAATAAAACAGTAAACCAGCTCACTCCGAGATGAAATGAAACACAAATGCACATAAAAATGAAGAACCACTTTAGTTGTACCACTTTAATTGTAGCAACTAGGATTGTTATGAGGAAACAATTATGTGTGAATCAGGATGAGAATGAAAAATAAGGTAATAAAGACCATTTACAGTTTTACCTTCTTCTATGAATTTTCTCAAAAGTCCAGTGACAAGACTGATTTTCTCCAATGGAACAGTGTCAACCTCATCCTCATCGCTGTCCAAGTTGGGTTGTGGCCAGGTAATGCTCAGGATCACGGTCTACAAGGGATCAAATAAACATTTCATGTCAGGATTGAAACTTTTATTAAATGTTGCAAAGTGATCTCCAAATATTAGTGATCTTTTTATGAATGAATAATCTATTTCTTTCTAAGTTCAGACTACACAACTTGCTGTCTTGTGACGGGAGTCTTGAAGTCGTTGTGGCGTTCACGCTAAGTGACTGATCGGTGACAGGGGGTCACACACTACACGAACTGACAGCGGCTGAGTCACCCGACGCTGGTCAAGAAAACACAGGTGAAATGACACGAACCTACACACGAAACAGCTGTTGTTTGTTATTGTAAAGATACCAATTATAAAGACAAAGAATCTGGATGAAAGGATGGATTAGAACACTCAGGTAGCAGGGATTGTCTGAGCTACAGAGAGCTGAGGTGAGTAAAAAGTGTTGGTAGTGAAAAAGTAGCTGCCTGCTCTAATTGGCTGGATGTGGATGTCGAGTCGGCCGACTTCTCCAGATATTTGTCATGCAAGATATCTGGCTGACGTCGGCAATGTGTCGGGGAGCCGTTTTAATGAGTCGTTGAGTAGGTCACACATAACGACTGGCGACCACCGATCGATCACTGATTTACTCCCGATCACAGCCTGACGGACGTCGAGCAGCAAATCGGGCTACAAATCATGCAGTGTGAACTAGGCTTTACCTGTGGGTTAAACTCCTCACTTGGCTCCCTTGGGAAAATTAAGGGGTGGACATTGGCCTATCTGAAAGAAGTGGCCAGATTCCTGTTTGTTTAAGGCCTTTCCATATTTGTTTAATTGGCTGTTTAACACGGTGAAGTACCTGCAGACAGAATTGACAGGACAGAAGGTAACATTTACACAGAGGCACTATTTTATAGGAAAGAGACCGTACGCACAGATGTAACATGAGTTACACAGCCAACCTCCAATATAAATACTAACAAGGTAATTTATAAAACAATTACTGCATGTGAAAGCAGTTCCTGGAACAGCCAGACATGATTGGTGGAGGTTGGAAATGGAAGATCCCAGGACAGGCAAAGATCAGTCACTTTGGTGTTTTCTTCTGCAGTAAGTTCAGCATCTTTCAGCTAAAGCAGGTACACATTCACAAAAGGTAAAAGAATTTAATAATTACATGAAAAGTTGTCACCAGGCAATCCACAAAAAGTCAAAAGCTTTGGAAATCACAAAATGTCTCGGCACAGACATGTGTGACATGAACAAAAATATGCAATTTGTAACCAAGTTACTCACCAAAACAAATGTTTCACGATGGTCAATATCAGGACAGTCCTCCGGTGTCAGAGCCGATTGCTGCAGTGTCGATGCTCCCACCAGTCAATAGGGTCACCACAGGCAAACTGAGTCCCGAGAAGCTGAACCCACCATGCAGGAAAGAATGACCGATCGTACGAGGGTTGTAGGAGTAGCAGAGCCTTAATTAAAAAACAAACAAAAAAAAGAGGTCAAGAAACATTGAGCATTATGTTTAAAAAACATGCTTGAACACAGTTGGACCCAAATCTGCATCAAACATGTCGAGTGATAGAGAGAGGTGTGGATTTTCAGAGTAATGGTTCAGTAAATCTTCTCTGAACAACTGGCATGCTTTTTGGGGGTTGACTTCAGTGGCCCAGGTTGAAGCTGTAATTTACCACAAAAAAAGTTGTTGATGCAAAGGGCCTTCTAAATGGTATACTAATATCAACTTATTTCCAAAGCAAACATAAATTTGTTTCAGCAGTGACATTTTGAAATCCCTGCAGGTTAATGTAATATATCAAGGGTAAGTACATGAAATCCATATTCCTATTTTAAATCACTTGACAAAAGTTACCTGCTGACGATTGTGGAACTGAGGGTCCTGGCAATTCTTCTCCCCTTGCTGCTACGCTGGGTTGAGCACAGTTCATTCTTAGAACAGACCAAATAAACTGTAATAAAAAAAACATTGCTTGGAAAACAGCCAAATCATGAGGTGATTCTATTTCGTATAGGCTTCGCCCTCTAAGAGCTGTCGCTATTGGGTTCATCCCCGCGCGCATGCGCAGTCCTGAAGATTTCTTTCGCGCCCATGTGCCGTGCACAGGCCTCTCTCAGGTCCGCAATTTAGGTATATAATACCGGCGAGACCAGAGATCTGCTCCCCTTTTTTCTTCAGCGCTGCATAGCAGTCATTTTGGAGAGCAGAGTAGCGTCTAAAGAGCAATTTTCCTGACTAAAGAAATTTTCCTATGGCTACTCATCCGCTCTACCGCTGAGGTCCGCCTCTGCCCGTCCTGCCACGCCGGCTCCATCATGGGGTTTGATCTCCACACCCGCTGCGAGACCTGCCTCGGTCCCCAGCACGCTGGCCTGGCTCTGACTCCCCGGGCCTCGTGCCCCTACTGCGCACAGCTGCCCGTGGAGGAGAAGCGACGGCGGGTCGACGCCTTCGCGGCCCTGCAGGAGGAGGAGGACGACGAAGCTAGCTGGGCTAAGCCAGTTAGCTTCACGGCGGACCTCGCCGGCGGGACTGCTGGCGATGCAGGGCTCGAGTCCTCTGACTCTGCTCCCTCCATTGCTGGCTCCCCGCCAGGCTCTCCCCTCTTCCCGCTGGAAGACCTGGAGTTTGACTTGGATAAGAAGGCGGCGTCGCTGGCTCCTGCTCCACTTCCGCCTTCCAGCTTGCCGTCCTGCGGGGCTCTCCTCCGGGATCTCCCCGACATAATCAAGACGGCTGCTGAGCGCAAGGGCGTGCCGATGCCTGCTGAGCCTCCTGCACCTGCTCCTAGCGCCATGCTCGGCGACATCTACCAGCCAGAGCAAGCGTCCAAACAGGTTCCTGTGTGGCCCCTTTTTCCACCGCTTCAGCCTTTTCTCTCCGAAGCGGGGGCCGAGCCTGGGAAGCTGAAGGCGCCGGTGGCGAGGTACGTCAACTTCACGAAGGTTGAGGGCCTCACTGACCGTGGGTTTCCCTCTGTCCCACCTCTGGAGCCCAGCCTGGCAGCCATCCTGCTGCCTAAAGCCACCTTTTTCGGCAGGAGGAAGCCGACTCCGCCCGCGACCAGGTGACGGCTCGAGTCACGGACCGCTCCCACCAGTGCGCCGCCCAGGTAACAGCCGCCATCAACAACATATCACTGCTGGCCTCGTCCATGTCATCTGTCGCTGCTCAGCCCGACGCCCTTTCCCCCGAGCTCGCCAGCGAGTTTGGGAAAGCCGCGGCCGCCATTTTGTCGCTCGCCACAGCGGCGGCGGTCGGCCAGTCCCGGATTATGGCGTGGATGACAGTGCTGCAACGCAACATGTGGCTGCACATGTCCGATCTGCCGGAGCAGATCAGGAAGGAGTTGCTGGACGGCCCCATCAGCCCCGATGGGCTGTTTGGGCCGCTCCTCCAGGATGCAATCACACACATGCAGCACGCTTCGGACGAGGCGGACAAGGTGAAGCGGCACACAGCGTGGAGCAGAGCGCCACCTCAACACCCACGGCGCTCACAGGGCTCCCGGCGTGATCGCCGCGACTCCCGCCCCAGGCCGAGGCGCCCCGCGGCCACTGCTGCGGCTGCGCCTCCGCCGGCTCCAGCCGAGGCCCCCCGGGCTCCTCCGGCGGCCACTGCTCCCTCTTCACAGCGCCGCCCTGCAGTCAAGAACAGGCGAGCGGCTTGCTCCTGGTCCAACCCCCCCGCCGAGCCTCCCCGCAAACAGCGGAGGTATTGACGGGACGCGGGGGACGTGTGTTTTCTTCCCGGAACAGCCGGACACAACGGCTCTTTTCAGAGCCAACCAAATGTCCATAAAGAGCATGTTCCTAACAGTCATCCTGCCCCTCTCTCTCCTGAGCTTCCTGCAGCTGATGAAACGCACGTCTCCCACACACAAGCAAGCTCCGCTGCGCACGCACACGCTGCGTCAGTTGTTGAGCCGCTGTTGTCCCTCTCTCATATTATCATGAGTGAAAAACATTCACATCAGATAAACACAACAGCCCACCCGCACTCCCTGCCTCTCTGCGGCCTCCCCACCTCTCACCCTTCAGTGTGTGTTAGTGGAGGTCCGCGCACGTTCTCCAAATGTGTGGAGACAGCGCTGGAGCCGCTGCGCAGGTCGGGCGTCAGAGTGTTGTTTTACCTGGACGACTTGATTGTCATGGCATCGTCCAGGGAGAGCTGTGCGCTACACACGATGAAGCTCGTGAAACACCTGTCCCGCCTGGGTTTTGCCATAAACTGGCAGAAGAGCTCTCCTCTCCCCTCCCAGTCAATAATCTATCTGGGAGTGCATCTGGACTCAGCCCGCATGAGAGCCAGATTATCTCCAGCCAGGCTGGAAGCTCTCCGCTCTCTGCTTTCACGCATCGCTCCGCACCAAGTGGTAACGGCTTTGTCTGTGATGCGTCTACTGGGCATGATGTCGGCCAGTCACGTGGTGGTCCCTCTGGGTCTCCTCCACATGAGGAAAATCCAGAGATGGTTCGGCCGTCTCCGCCTCGATCCCATAAAGCACAAAAGACGCCTGCTGTCCGTCCCCCCCTCAGTACAGTCAGACCTGACGTACTGGAAATCCCCTCACGTGCTTTCAGCGGGGTCCCCCCTCGGGAAAGTGACGTCACATGTCACAGTGTACACGGACGCGTCCCTCATTGGCTGGGGCGGGATGTGCCATTCTCACGTGGTGGGAGGGAAATGGCCACAGCCTCCATCTCTCCACATAAACGGC